CGCAGATTAAAAGTAACAAAAGTTCCAAACCGGAAATCACTTTCACTTCTTGCTGAAAAGTATCAATCCATCGCCATTTTAAGTTCACTTTCCCTCAATCCACCTCAAGTATAGGGAAGAACTTATTATCCAAGTTAGAGCAAAGTTCAAAATAAAAAGCAAACTTCCAGGGTCGGTTCGTCTGCTTACAAAAAAAAACCTCACAGTTCAATTTAAGTTGCAGCAGTGGCGGCGACTTCTAGCTTCGCCGAAGCGAAGGCGTCCTGAATCGCGGAGAAGCCTCGGGGCTCCGGAGGAGTTCTCACCTACATCGTCCACATGGGACGACTCAGGAACTCAACTCCTACCCCGGGCAGCTCACCTATCCCCTTATGCCCAGGGGAAGGGTACAAGCCGTTTGACAGCTGATGCTAGCTGTCAGAACGGCTTTTACGCTGAAACAGGCGGGAGGCAGCAAACAGCTGCGTCCGACGAGGTCGCCTGCCACCGGAAGCCCCTCTCATTTCAAGATATTTAACTAGGTGAAACAGGGCATCATAGGACCACAGTTTTTGAATTAAGCTATCTCAAATTGGCTAACTCACAGAATGTGTCCAAAATCTAGGACCTATAACCCCAGGGGAGTGAAATTTGGGGAAATAATAATAATAATAATAATAATAATAATAATAATAATGATGATGATGATGATGATGATGATGATGATGATGATGATGATGATGATGATAATAATGATAATAGAGTTGGAAGGGACCTTGGAGGTCTTCTGGTCAACCTCCTGCTCAAGCAGGTTGAGGCAGGTTGTTCCACTGATTAATTGTTCAAACTGTCAGGAAATTTCTCCTTAGTTCTAGGTTGGTTCTCTTCTTGATTAATTTCCATCCATTGCTTCTTGTCCTGCCTTCAGGTGCTTTGAAGAATAGCTTGACTCCCTCTTCTTTGTGGCAGCCCCTGAGATATTGGAACACTGCTATCATGTCCCCCCTCATCCTTCTGTTCGTTAAACTAGACATACCCAATTCCAACAACCGTTCTTTATATGCTTTAGCCTCCAGTCCTCTGATCATCTTTGTTGCTCTTCTCTGTACTCTTTCTAGAGTCTCAGCATCTTTTTTACATCGTTGTGACCAAAACTGGATGCAGTATTCCAAGTGTGGCCTTACCAAGGCATTGTAAAGTGGTATTAACACTTCATGTGATCTTGATTCTATCCCTATGTTAATGCAGCCTAGCAGCTGCCAAAAAAGCTGTGTTGGGTTTTTTGGCAGCTGCAGCACACTGATGGTTCATATTTAAGTGATTGTCCACTAGGACTCCAAGATCCTATTATGGCTGCTTTAGTGCTACTGGCTGCTCTGTGTTGCTGACTGCTGCTAAAGTCATGTGATCTTTTTTTTCAACATTCTGTGAAAGTTTCCCAGCCAGTCTCACAATCCCTTGTTCTCTCTTCCCACCCAGCAATACACACTTACCTGCCCTGCTGGTGGGGGGAAGGAAGGAAGGAAGGAAGGAAGGAAGGAAGGAAGGAAGGAAGGAAGGAAGGAAGGAAGGAAGGAAGGAAGGAAGGAGGGAGATTTTAATGTTCCCTGCCAGATTCCTACAAGAAAACTCAATGGGGATGTCAGGAGGAAATCAGACGTTGTTCCTGCTTCCACTGATTTTCCTTACCTTTAGTCATTCTGCTCCAATCTTAGTTTTATATTTATATATTTATATTTATTTGTACAGGTAATCCTTAGCTTACGACCACAATGGAGCCCAAAATTTCTGTTTTTAAGTGAGACATTTGTTGTGAGTTTTATGACTCATTTTATGACCTTTCTTGCCACCGTTGTTAAGTGAATCATTGCAGTTAATAAGTTAGTAACCTGGTTGTTAAATAAATCTAGTTTCCCCATTACTTTGCTTGTCAGAAGGGCACAAAAGGTGATCACATGACCTTGGGACACAGCAACAGTCATAAATAAGAGCCAGTTGCCAAGTATTTTAACTTTTATCACATGACTATGGGGGTGCTGCAAAGGTCATAACTGTGAAAAACGGTAATAAGTCACTTTTTTCAGTGCCACTGTAACTTTGAATGGTCACTAAATGAACTATTGTAAGACAAGAACTACCTGTATTTGAATGAAGACACTATTAAGGTGACAAGAGGCTTGTGCATATAAGTTCAGCTTCACTGTAGTTTTGATTTAATCTGCTATCTTTGTTTCTAATGTAAATCACCGTATACTTCTATGAGCTGAAAAAGATGTACAATATTAATAAAATTTGTATAGCCACCCATCTTACAAAAAGCAGTTCTTGATATTAAACATACACTGAACTGCAAAAAGTAAATATTTTTCCTCTCTTGTCTGAAACTGAAGTTCCAGAAGCAGTTGTTAAAATATTGCTTGTATTGAAGAATTTATGTTCAAGGACTGAATTTATAACAGACCTGTGACATGCACAGAGACTAGTAAGCAACATTTCCAACTTGAACTTCCTTAAAAATATTTTTTCTGCTAAAGTTAGGAGAAGAAAAAGAAGCCTACCTCTTTGGATGAATACCCTGGAACCAATCTTGCCACATTTTCCCAGTTGACAGGCTGAGGAACTCCAAGTAAAGAACAAAGAATCATATCCAAAACCATTTGATTATTGTCGTGTGGGACATTATTATTTTCTATATATCCACGGTTCATTTTTTTTGGCACTGGAAAAAGACATGAAAATTTAAAAATTCTCATATTGTTTAAAGAATTTTGGTTTGCCTAATTATATAATAGCTGTTATGTAACCTATAAGGAAAGAGAAGCTTTCTTCGGATAAATATGAGCCCAAAACTAATTAACTATTTATTGTATTGTTGCCAACATGGGAGCACACATCAGTGTCCATCTTGGAGTGCTGAGGATTGTCCCATCACATTATTTTTTCCTATTCTGATCCACCTCCCCCAATCCTGCCACATCAGGCTGATATGTTCACTAGTTGTACAGGGGAAAGGCTACAGTATGAACATAAAAAAGTAAAATATATAAAATCTGATATTACTATGGCAACAGTATATCAAATAATTGAATTACTGTAGAAGTAAGTCAGGTAACATTAGACTTCAAAACAATTTCCCCCAAAAGTATAAAAAATTTAATTAAAGTGATCGCTTATCATGTTAAGAAAAAAAGCAGCAATAAATGGATGATTTTGAACAATTCTCTTCTTGCAAGAATACTCATCTCAAATCTGAAATCTCACTACTCAGAATTAACTTGCATTATTCTATTTTTTAATAAAATAAGTTTCAGTCACAGGACATCACAAAAATAACAACCACTCTAAAATAGAAATAAAAAATGTATTGATAGAATGTTTTTTATTAAAATAAAAGCTATTTTATTTTTAGAGTAGGCTTAACAGCTAGTCTTCTGGAATCAAATCTTAAGTCTTAAGACTCAATGTTTTCAAAGAGTTTACTACCCAGTCCATGATTTTCAGTAGTACACATTTGAAATCATATACCATTTCTATATTACTAAAGTAGGTTCTCCATTAGCATGCAAGTTTTAAAAAATTACTCAGAAAGAGAACACTGACAATAAAAGACATGAAACATTAATAAAATCTAAACATTGGAAATGTTTTGTGCTTTCAGTTTTCTGATAGCACTGGAGAAAAGTCAGCCACATATAGGAAATGTCCTAGTGTTAATATTTACCTGAAAAAACTGGGGATAAGCAATTGGCAGTCAGTCAAACTTTATTTAAAGACTAGTGCAGAACAAAACAATTAACAAATTGTTTAAACTAAACAAGGAATGTGAAGGAATGAAGTTGGGATTGCTGCCTGCTCTTTTTAGAACTAGTTGCAGTCATAGAAACAAGCTTTTCCCCCTCAGTTCCTCCATGCATTCAGATATTCATTCATACATTTACTCAAAGGCATAGAAGCCAGTGTTGCAGCTGCCTATAACTGAGCCACACCCTAGCATTTTCAAGGATGTGAGGAAGTACAGAAGCAGCCCATCCACCTTCTCAGAACAGAAACACAAATACTAAGACTGAGTGTATGTGTGAGGGCATATAGTAGGAAAGGTGATAAGCAAAAGGGGTCTGAAGATGGACAGCTATTACGAGCAAGCAAGAGGACTATCATTCAATTACCACAATCACAATCAACCATCACATATCCAGATGAGGGTCCAGCTGGAACTAAAGAGTTTGCCTGGAGCTTGGCAGTAACTAGAAAAGGAGCGACCACACTGAAAGAACACTTCATTCCAATGAGTGCACAAACTTTTGATAAAAGACATAGGTTATATATCACTTTAAAGACTATGAGTCTTTATGAAACGAGATTTAAAGAATATTATAATAATATTAAAAGACTGAGTGTTAAAGGCATCTTTAAGGACAAATCACATTGCAAAGTCCTAGAAAGGTGTAGTTGACTCAGAGCAATAGTCTATTGTTGGGAAAGGCAACTGTAAGATTTGCTACACTATGGTGTATCCTTGGAGAGCAGAGAACCCTTACAAAGGGGACCAAAAATAAAAAAGCTAATAGTACAGAATATTGTCACTATTGCCACAGTAAACATCTCTAGTACAAACTGCCCACCCAGAATATTATATATCTAAAACTAAGAAACTAAGAAACTTGAGATCATCTGCCACATAATTAATTAGAGAACAGGTTTTCTTTTCTATGTGCATTTTAAGGGCAGGAATTGCTCTCAATCTAATTTTTGTCCTGTACTTTTATGAAGAAATACAGTCTCTGTCAAACAATTTAAGCTTTATTTGAACTTGGAAATGATGAAAAATTAAACCTTATAGTCCTGTATTTTTTTAAGTTAGGTTAGTGATGCTAAATGGAATTGTGGAAAGGACTATATAAGTGAAACAAATGGGCTTTCCCGGAACAAAAGCTGAAAAAAATGAAGTATCCCACATTCTACATCACCATTTAGTTTACTTGGATTACCTTTAGTTCTTATAAACTGCAGTGACTATTTAGCTGGAAGAAGCATCTTTCCAATGTCTAGAATGCCTTTAAGGTCTAATCCTTCATTTATTTCCTGACAGCCCTAATCCCCAATTGCATAAACAGATGCAGAAAATGAAATATCAGGAAGGGAGAAGGACACAGATAGTATCCATTACCTGAAGTACGCTTCAAAAGGGTGTTCCTTGAAAACCAATAGGTAAATTCCTGTAAATTAAGAAATAGAAAAAGCGTTGCCCAAACCTAAACAACAATATTACATAAGAGAGAAGTAAATTATAACTTGAGTGGAGGTAGAACCTCAGTGTCAACTTGATCAAACATTTTCAGAAAGCAAGCCACACTGTTTAATTCTAAGTTTAGAGAATACAGCATCCTAAACTGAACTTGATCCATCCTTGCTATAACAGCCGGCATATTTTTTCATTCTCTGAGTCTTCCTTCATCTCTTCATCCTCCCCACTCCCTTTTGTGCAAGAAAGCCTGAATCACTCCAACCCACTGAGCAGCAGCTATCACTTCATCCACACAAAGTGGAGAGAATGTTCTAATCTACACACTTCTCAGGATATCAAACACACAAGCACAAATATGTCACCCTCTCTCCTCAAATCCTGAGACTTCTCCCATTTTGTTATGGTAAGAATTATATTTTTATTCCAAGGTGCACATAAACATTTAAGGCAATACAAATATTGCAAAAACGTTTTCATTTTTTAAAATTTTCAACTCTCAGGACTGTAAATAATAAAAAAGCAAAGCTAGTATGAATGGTAATACGGTTAAGAGCTTTGGATTCAATCCAAAATACCCTGAGCAGTCTTAAACACTGGCACTGACATTACCATCAGTCAATTGCAAAGGGCAGCTATACTTGTGATGGTACCTCTAACACTATCAAACAACATCTATTGATCCCAGAATAAAAATGCCAAGTCCTGTCTAAACATCTGGGTGACTATGCGTCCAACTGTAATATATACATACAGTATATATTTAAAAATCCCTATAGGAATTCATTTACTGAATTCTAACAATAGCTTCATAACATTCCTACCTCTTTAGGAATTTTACTATTAAAAAACATTGGAAATCAAGAGACTCACAGTATTTTTTTTAAATGAACCTTTTTAGATACACCACTATCGAAGATATCATGCAATCAGATACATCATGAGTTAGGGGAAACTGCTGCTCCATCTGAGTCACTTACACTAAACTGGGAGACAGAGGAATTGTGCTATTTTTATAGCTCCTACTAACTCACTCACCCACCCGTGCTCTCGCCCATCCACCTGCTCTCCCAGCCTCCTTAGCCTTTGACAGACCGCTCGGTCTCTTAATACCGCCCTTTTTTGATTAAGAGAGAGAGAGAGAGAGAGAGAGAGAGAGACTGATTCAGGGGGAGAGAAATATTCAGTCATTCATACCCTAACTAGCCAATCCACGCGCCTCACCTCGCTATATCTCGCCTTCCCGGGGTCCCAACGAGCCTATAGCAAATCAGGAAGGCTAACGCACGCGCGCCTCCTCCTTTTCGTTTTTGTCGCAGTGCAGCGGCCTTGTCTGCTGGAGCCTTTTCGCTCTTTCTTCCGCCCTGCCTTTTCGCGTCTGGTCACCTAGCAACAAGCGACAGCGCCCTATAATTGCAGCTCAGATCATTTTTTCCAGTCAGGGCGCTCCCTGGTTGAAAGGAGAATGGAATAGTCGAATAGGAAGGAGTGATGGGGAGGGGTTGATTGCGAAGGAGAAGAGCAGTTTAGAAAAGGGCGTAGCCGTAAAACGTAGACTAGAGGTAGACCGCCGCGCGCCTCATGCGAACTTTGCTCTATCGTCTCTTGCTCCGGTAATGTAACTCTGGCCAACCTTTATTAAACGTGTTATCAAGATGCAAGACGAATGGATGTGGCCTTGCAGCGAGAAGTTAACCAACCGTACCTCTATCTTTTTTAATGTGTAGTTAAAATTTTACCTTGCAAGTCAATATTTATTTTCTTTAATTAGAAATCTATCAAGCTGGCTATGTGATAGCTCAGTGTTTCTCAACCTTGACAATTTTAAGGCATGTGGACTTCAACTCCCAGAATTCCACAGCCAGCATTGCTGGCTGTGGAATTCTGGGAGTTGAAGTCCACATGCCTTAAAATTGTCAAGGTTGAGAAACACTGTAAAAAGCTAAAAGCAAACACAGGCCTGAAAGCATATAATCATAATTAGAAAATATATTAGCCCTATTTTACTTTTATATCACCCAGACTCCCTTTCAAATTTCTCTTGACTGAAAATTTTCCACCTGACCAAACTCGCTTTAGGCCTGCCCTTCTATGACAAGTTTGGGATTATGATTATTGACACTTTAGTGGGAGATTTGCCAACATTCATCTAGATTAATTTGGCTTGAGTGAGGCATACTTCTGATTATGAAACTCTTGAAGGAAAATGCACTCTGCATATGTTCAAATAAAGGTATTCCTCAACTTACGACCACAATTGAGCCCAAAATTTCTGTTGAATTTTGCCCCATTTTATGACCTTTCTTGCCACAGTTGTTAAGTGAATGACTGCAGTTGATAAGTGAATCTGATTTCCCTATTGACTTTGCTTGTGAGAATGTTGCAAAGAGCTATCATAAGACTTTGGGACATAGCAATGGTCATAAATAGGAACCAATTGCCAAAGCATC